GAACTCCTTTTGCAGGAAATATCTCCACATTAATGACCGTCGCCTGCCTAAAATAACAAGACGTTAGTGGTTTTTGACAATAATACCGCTTATAAACTATGTATGCAGTACGTAGCGAGAATGAAATTCATGTTGGATTTTTTTGCAAGGGTTTCGGGTGTTAACGTAGGAAAATAATATCTAGTCAGATTATTGCGCAGGTTTTTATTTTCAATATTTCAAAACATATCAAAAAGCAACTCAAGTTTTCTAACTAGAATTGGGGTTGAACCAAAGTTCAGTTTTTTTGCGGTATTCGGTTTTTGATCAGGCTGAAGCCCAAGGTCCTAATTAGTGAAAGTTTGTACCTCTAAAGATGGGTACACAACCTTCGGAGAATTTTGAAAATATTCCGATCAAAACTTCCCATGGACTCCAGCATGATATTCAAGCATACGGGAACGGAGGGCCCATTTTAAAATACTCTTAGGTTGTCCTGATTTTGTCCCACATCAAAAATATTTTTTCAAAAGGAATGCCGTACTTTTTATTACACAATCGGATAGGCCCTTTTAAAAGAAGACGATTGATGTAACCTACTTATGTGTTTGATTATTAGTTATTGGGCTATTTCTTATTTTATCTAAAAAAAAACATTAAATTTCTCAGTTCGCGGTTAATAGCACAGTCGCCATGTGACCGCTAGATGTTAACGATTCTGCAAGGACAGCTGTCTTGTGCTTTTTGACTCATCAGCGTGGTCTAGACTTTGTTTCTCGTCTTTCTTTATAGTGAAAAAAGTTACAGAATTAATCGACCTCAATGCATAATTGCGAAGTAGTTTTTTGACATATCAAAAACCATAAAACAATAAAGATCCCAGTTTGCGTTTAATAGCCCAGTCGCCATGTGACCGCTAGGTGGCTGACGATTCTGCAAGGACAGCTGTCTTGTGCTTTTTGACGACTTGCTCATCAGCATGCTCGAGGCTTTGTTTCTTATTTCTCTTTATAGTGGAAAAAGTTACAGAATTAATCGACCTCAATGGCATAATTATGAAGTATTTTTTTGACAAAACAAAAACCATAAAACAATAAAGAACCCAGTTTGCGTTTAATAGCCCAGTCGCCATGTGACCGCTAGGTGGCTGACGATTCAGCAAGGACAGCTGTCTTGTGCTCTTTGTTTCTTGTTTTTCTTTATAGTGGAAAAAGTTACAGAATTAATCGACCTCAATGCATAATTATGAAGTAATTTTTTGACAAAACAAAAACCATAAAACAATAAAGATCCCAGTATGCGTTTAATAGCCCAGTCGTCATGTGACCGCTAGATGGCTGATGATTCTGCAAGGACAGCTGTCTTGTGCTTTTTGATTACTTGCTCATCAGCATGGTCTAGGCTTTGTTTCTCGACTCTATAGTGGAAAAAGTTACAGAGTTAGTAGGGCTCAATGCATAATTATGAGGTAATTTTTTGACAAAACAAAAACCATAAAACAATAAAGAACCCAGTTTGCGTTTAATAGCCCAGTCGCCATGTGCCCGTAGATGGCTGACGATTCTGCAAGGACAGCTGTCTTGTGCTTTTTGGCTACTTGCTCATCAGCATGCTCGAGGCTGTGTTTCTTATTTCTCTTTATAGTGGAAAAAGTTACAGAATTAATCGACCTCAATGCATAATTATGAAGTAATTTTTTGACAAAACAAAAACCATAAAACAATAAAGATCCCAGTTTGCGTTTAATAGCCCAGTCGCCATGTGACCGCTAGATGGCTGACGATTCTGCAAGGACAGCTGTCTTGTGCTTTTTGGCTACTTGCTCATCAGCATGCTCGAGGCTTTGTTTCTTATTTCTCTTTATAGTGGAAAAAGTTACAGAATTAATCGACCTCAATGCATAATTATGAAGTATTTTTTTGACAAAACAAAAACCATAAAACAATAAAGATCCCAGTATGCGTTTAATAGCCCAGTCGCCATGTGACCGCTAGATGGTTGACGATTCTGCAAGGACAGCTGTCTTGTGCTTTTTGGCTCCTTGCTCATCAGCATGCTCGAGGCTTTGTTTCTTATTTCTCTTTATAGTGGAAAAAGTTACAGAATTAATCGACCTCAATGCATAATTATGAAGCAATTTTTTGACAAAACAAAAACCATAAAACAATAAAGATCCCAGTTTGCGTTTAATAGCCCAGTCGCCATGTGACCGCTAGGTGGCTGACGATTCTGCAAGGACAGCTGTTTTTTGCTTTTTGACTACTTGCTCATCAGCATGGTCTAGGCTTTGTTTCTTGTTTCTCTTTATAGGGGAAAAAGTTACGAGATACCGACCGACGGACGCGTGAAGCCTTTCGTCGCGGACCAAAATTAGAAAGTGGCGTGCAGGTTTCTTTGAAGTAAATGAAAGTTTATAGGCTGCCAGAGGGGAGAAAGGTAGGGGGATGGGGCGCGGTGCCGCTTTCCTTCTCTGCGTGCGAGCTTTGAAATCGTGGCGTGGGTGCTACTACGAGGGTACTACGATATGTATTCTAAATATTTACTTCGACGAGGACTTCATATATACGAAGTGACATATATAAATCCGAACACCCAGTTTAAATGGTTTTATTTTAATAAAATTTTGTATAAGTACTTAATGAAGCATAATAAGTAAATGATAAAAATTTCAAAATGATTGCACTGCTTTAAAGCCCTTTGACCTTTAATAATGTGTGGATGCACCCTGATGTGCTACGCATTCCTCAACGCGCCTAGACATGCTTCTGATCAGGTGGTCAATGTCCTCCTGTGGTATATCATTCCAGGCAACCACCAACTCCTCTCGAAGTGCTTCTAGAGTCTGAGGAGGACGTTGCAAATTGAGCAATCTCCTACCCATCATATCCCACACGTGCTCAATTGGGGATAAGTCGGGAGATCTTGGTGGTCATGGTAACAATGTGACATTATTATGTTGAAAGAAGTCTATTGTGACTCTTGCAACATGTGGCGGGCATTATCTTGTTGGAAAGTTGGATCTGCCAGGGTGTCAAGATAGGGTAAAAGATGGTGTTCTAGAACTTCTGCGCGTTCATGTTACCTCTGATGAAGATTAAAGGTGACCTGGAACCATAAGCTATAGCACCCGAAACCACAACTCCAACAGTGTGATGAACATGTCTTTCAACAAAAAACTGTGGATTCATCCTTTCACCACGTCGCCTTCTAACCCTGGCACGACCATCGTGCATGCCTAAACAAAATCGAGACTCGTCACTAAAGACAATACTGTTCCATTCCTGATACCAGAGTGACCGTTGTCTGCACCACTCAAGGCGATTACGTCGGTGTTCTCGAGTTAAAGGGAGGACCCAGTGTGGCCGGTATGAAAACAAGCCAAAACTTCTCATTCGTCGGTAAACACTTCGCATGCCAATAGGTCTTCCGTGTTCTGCAAACCATTCATTTGCAATGGACCTGGTAGTGGAGAAACGGTCCCTTAAGGCCAATAATCTTAGGCGGCGATCTTCACGGTCTGTTGTTCTACGGCGGCGTCCAGTGCCCCTTGCTCTTTGCGTACGGCCTTCTCGAAGCCATGCCTGACAACACCTAACCACAGTGTCTACACTTCTTTGCACTCTAACTGCAATTGCCCGAAAAGAAAGTCCAGCTTCCCGAAGTCCCACTATACGGCCCCTATCAAACTCATTAAGTTGACGAAATCGTACAGGTCTCCGTACTCTAGGCATCGTAACCGATCGTCAAGAACCAAAATCCGCCAACGTTGATTCTTTACTGCGGCTGAAATATTCATTTTTAGAGCGTTAGTGAATTAAAAAAAGCAGTATAAAAACAGGAATGTCCAACTGATAAGGCTGAAATTTTTTTCACTTCTTATTTACAGTAAGATAAATACATTCACCAACTTTTATTAAAATAAAACCATTTAAACTGGGTGTTCGGATTTATATGTCACTTAGTATAATTAAGATTGAACATCACTTACACGTAAGTTCGTTTGATCATGTAATTTTAACGATCTACTACTACAAACTGTCATTTGAAATTTTTAAGGATTCGTTCATTTTGCGTTCTTACTTAAACTATCAAAAAATGATAAAGTAAATGGATAGAGATAAAATAATTGCTCATGAAATTGGTCTAGTCATAAATTTTAGTGCTCTAGTGCTACAATAGTTGAAGAGGGGCGAATTGTCAAAGCCAAAAAATCCTACATTTGCAATACGAATTTTCTTCATTTGAAAAAGTATGTTATTAGGGTCGCCCCATATTTATGAATCACTCTGTTACAATATGAATATTTTCCAAATATATAATTTTTGTAATCAACTTTTTTAAGCAACATGTGGAACGAGACTTACTAAAAACTCACCATGAATATGTTTAAATTCCCGTTTGTTGTACGACTTTTCTACCAGCGCGGTAGCCTTTTTCAAGTACAATAACAATCATTATTGTTGCTGCAGGTTACGAAAAAGGAAGTTATCAACCGAAAAACTTCACACGTTTGAAGCCTCATTTCCCATGAAAAGATGGGTGTCGGGTACCTATATTTAAACTAGTAAAATTGGGGGTTTTCCATCGATTTTAGAGAAAAACTGACACCATATTCGTAAGCTTTATTATAAAACAGCACAGAATGTAAGCTAAAAGTCAGAAATATACTTTTGATCCAGATGAATCTAGTCAGGGTTAAATACGTTTGCCACAATGATCTAAAATGTAGTTGCTCTAAAGGTGGAGACTGGCCTGTACCAGAACATCGTAACTCATAACGTAGCATGTAACCACGCGGGCATTTAGCTTCATGGGGGCCGTGAACGCGAAAAAATTATTGTCTGAGTGACCCCTCCGTTCTTCAATTTTCCCTGCTTTCGCTGTGCCCTAGTGCCCGAGCCCGCTGTGAGCCAGACTATAAGTGCTCCAACTTTGCTGGCACCTTGCGAATGTTACGTTGCAGCGCCCTCATACAAGTCAGCCTCTACCACAACTAGATTCTGGATATCCTAAGGTCAATCTTAAGACTCGTAGATAATCCTAACGTTTTGAGATCTCATGTTCGTCCTGGCCCTAAGCACCGGGAAGTGGTTATGTGTTCCACTGACCATGGCTACTTTCCCGCTAGTCGTGATCTTGACTTTGCATCTGCCCTCTCTGGAATTTGGATGGAAATATCTGTTGCATATCCAACTTGTTTTGCCTTGTTCGTTCTTCTTCATGAGGTACTCGTGGTCGTCCAGGATGATTTTAGGCTTCTTCTGTCCTACATCAAAGTAGATCACACCTACAAACAAGTATTCCGCTAGAAAACGAATCGAAATGCCTTGCAATACCACGCCTGTTTTGGTTAATTAATATAATAAAACAATGATAAATACTATCTAACGGTTGGTCCAAGCAAAACAGTTGTCTAGCGGAGAGTAGGAGGGGTTAAGAGCGCCAGTGACTTAGGACGGATTAAGCCACAACTTCCCGAGATGTTAGTCGGAGTGCGAGTAATAAAAAAAAGAAAGGATGTTATAAATCTTAAATACAACAAGCAGATATAGAACGAATGTCATCGCGACACGCATTAAGCCACGTGGACCGAAGGTATATAAAAAAAAACTTACCGCTGAAGGTCAAAATCATATAAAAAAAATGGAAGGCGTAGCACCCAAACCAAAATGACTAAACTTAAGTTACAGAAAAAAAGGGTGCTAGTCCATGAATTGGCGCTTTGGGCCTGATATCCCAGAGTCCGGAAAATGACGAAACGACCCATGCACCACGCAGAACACGTAACGTTCTAGAAGCAATGGCCTTGAAGAAGATACGTTTTATAGGAAACCAACTAGGAATGGGCTCTCTATTATCAATGAAGAGAAATTCAAATTACGGTTAAGTGATAAATAGTAAAAAAGATTACGTGACTTTGGCACGTAACAGCAAATATGTTTTGGTCCTTATGTATACCCCGGTACCGAAAAGGAAGAGAGCGACTGTGGCGTAGAAAGTAAAAACAAAGGTAGGTAAGAACATAACAGAATAATAAAATGCTTTGGGATTTTGTTAATGGATCTTTGAAGAATATTCAGGAACTTCGGAAACGTGGTCAAAGTATTTTGCAATTTTCAAAATATCAAACCGCTTATATTTCGAAAACTGCTAACTTTAAAAAAAAGTTCATAAGAGTATTTTTTGTTCAGGATTAACAAAACCTAAACAAACTTTGTTCGAAAAAAAATATTTTTAATATTGTTTTTTCTGTGTCGGAAAAAAGTTTGACATTTTATGTTTGTTGACAGGTAACAAAATGTCACTTTTTATGAAACTACTTTTTTCCCCGGGAAAAAAAGGGGTACTTTTTTCCTGCAATCCCAAGTACAACATAGCCTACTCATTTCAGAATTCAAATTTCACATCGATAAATATTGTAATAATATAATTTTTCAATATTAAATCGTCGGTTTTTTCCCGTCACAGAAAAAAATTGTGTATTATAAACGGAAAAAATTCTAGATTTTAGCTTTCGGTTTCGGAAGCTAAAATCTAGTACTTTTTTCCCTTGTATAATAAATAACTATTGGACCATTTTTGGTTGAATTTTGGGTCCAACACAACATGCGGAATCGTTGCATAAGATTATGCAAGAAATCCAATCAGAATAACTCATAGACTAACTAGTAAGCTTTGAACGACCGTTCTTATTACGCGGGGCGTCCGATAAGTACTTCACTAATTTTCGTTTTTCTTTTGTATGCCAAGTACTTACCGGACCGCCCTCGTATTTGGTCGTTTCAGACTGCCAAGATTCATCCTTAGGCGAACAATTTTTTTTATATCCGATGGTAAGCAAGAAATGCACCTTTTCAGATAATTATACAGAGCGTTGCAATATTAAGTGGACATAGAAGTACCACGTATTTTTAGACTCCAAATAAGTGGGTTAGACCTGATTTACCTCCATGCAAAAGTGCTTCGTTTGTCCGTTAGACAGCGTCAAAGTTTTCTTTTTAAAACACATTTTTTTATATTTCTCGAACATTTTCAGGTTTTTTGTAAAAGTCAAATATTAGGAAGCCGAGCAAAACGCACGTGTTTCAAATGTCATTCAAACCGGACTATCGGTTCCAGAAATATCTAAAAATCATTTCCTAAAAATACTACTGTGTCCGAGGAATATTGTTGGGACACCATGTACAGAAAAATCCAATCCTTTCAAACTTCAAATATATAAGTCACATTCTTTATTCACTAAAGCTACATACAAGCATACACTACAATAAATATCCTCATTTCCTCTTGATAATCACGCTCTTGCAAGCCAAGTTGCTCAGATCGCTTATAGTTGCGGGATGGTTGTGAACCTGCCTTAAGACCACGCCGTTGCCGCTCGTTGTGAGCCTGGCCTTACATTTGGTCTTGCAGTAGCAACTGCAATTCCAATACGTTTTGTTCTTATGCTTCCCTTCGAAGTTGAAGTCGTAGAGGTCGAGGATCAATTTCGGATTCGACGACCTGCCTTTGCCGAAATAGACCAGACCTGAAAAGTAGCGGTGAGAGATTTTCGGCCGCACGTGACTCGGGTTGACTGCAGAATATTTTATTACCTGTTTCGGGAAACCAAACAATAACTGGTGAACGTATAAAAATCAAGGACATGGTGTGGAAATATACAGGGTGTTTCAGTCTATTGTTGCATAACTTTAAGATTCGATAGAACTTTTAAAATTAATGCCTAAGTTTCGACCCATGTTTATATGGACTTTATGCATTAATTTTAAAAGTTCTATCGAATCTTAAAGTTATGCAACAATAAACTAAAACACCCTGTATTTTGGCTAGTCCTAACATGTTTGGCCGCTAAAGAAAACCACATATGCTTGCAAGTACGAATAACAACTGCAACGCCAATATGATGAATGACAAAAAAGCTAAACACCTACGTATGTTTATTAGAATTCAAGAATTCTTTACACATCGATTTATCTTTCCATGAATAACAAGTGATAAAATGATCAGGCACCTGATCTTATTCGATACCTAAACACAATCCAAAATCCGATCGCCTGACCTATCTGCAATTGAACATGACTGGGTCATGATAGGTCGCAGGCTCTCGAGTTTGCCACACCCTTCACAGACTTTAGCAGCTTCTACTCACTCAGTTGCTGTAGCCTGGATTGAGAGACCTCAACAGGATATCGACCACCTTATCAGCACGATTCCCAGGCGTGTCAATGAGTGTATAAGAAATCGTGGATACTCAACACATTATTAAACCGGTCAGTTGACGAATCAAGCGTAAAATTTAATCATTTTACTAGTAAGGGACACTGAACATATATGCCAAAAATTATTAAAATCGGATAAACATACGCCAAAATGCCCATGCAAAGCTAGAGTGACAGACTGTCAAGGTGTTTCAGAAGCGGGATAGAGATTTATTACCGTTGGATTAACGCAGAGGAAGGTGAAATCTCCATGTTACGAGTATGATAAATGAATATGTAATTTTGTAATTAGAATGTCAGAAGCAGCTTAGCCTTGCTCATTATTTCTAGAAAGTAAAATCGTTTGTTCACTTATTCTACCTGATCTATATACTGTATTTCGGCGTCCAATACTGAGATAATATCAGAATACAAAAATGAAAGGCCTGAACATGAACAATCTTACGAAGAAATGTGGTTTTATTTAGTCGCCATGAAAACCAAAAGGATAAATTTCAAGCATAAATTCGCTTCGAAACAAAACAAACTAAAATAACCAGACGCAGGAAGAAAAACCTTCTAGACATGACTAAGGAACGTAAGACATAATACAACCATTTTGACTTTATAATAGTTTATTCTTTTAATAAATACGTATTTTTAATACTACTGAACAGACATATGTGCGTTTTATACGTCGCTTTTACACTTTCAAGCTCTGAGAATATAAGCAATACGGTACCAATAAATATATAAATAGTCTGCGCAGTTTTTGACAGCAAAGCTAGTACGAGTTTTTAAAGTCCATTTAGAGGCGCTTCTTTAACTGGCTCTGACGATAGTCACTTCCTTAGATCTGTACTTGGCATTGACCCTCTTCCTGGGAAGATGATTGTGGACCCCGTTGACCACAATGTATGTGCCAGAGGTCGAAACTCGCACCTTGCATTTGGTCTTGTAGTTCATGCAGCAGAACCACGTACTCTTGGTGGGTATGCTGCTCTCTAGATAAGAATCGTGATCGTCGACGATGATCTTCGGGTTCTCTCTTTCAAGGTCAAACGACCTATCTTCGTGACATTTGAACATGACATGTTTCTCCATTTTTAGCGCTGGGATCAAAATTGAGAGTTTCCATGTGAAAAAATGAAGTTGACCTTTAATTGAACAAGGTCACAGACAAGACCAGAATGAAGGTAACCATCAGATGTGTTGCTGGGTGTTCTGCGATTTTCGCATTAAAAGTTCTACTTTAATATTCTCCTTTTTCCATCTATCCGCTGTTCCACAACATTCCATAAAAAAATCTCATGATAGAGCAAAAATTGACCTTGAAACATCCTCTAGTAAACCTTGAAGGACAATTCGAGGTCAAATTGATTTTTTCGCATGGAAACCCTCAATTTTGATCCCAGCACTGAAAGTTGGAAAAATGCAAGTTCAAAGCGTCAATTAACCTGGGTAAAATGGCACCTAGAGGTTCTTTCAAGGTCGAACGACCTATTTTCGCGACCCTTGAACATGACATGTTTCTCCTTTTTCAGCGCTGGGATCAAAATTGAGGGTTTCCATGAGAGAGCAAGAATTGACCTTGAAATGTCTTCTAGTAAACTTTGAAGGACTATTCAAGGTCAAATTGATTTTTTCGCATGGAAACCCTCAATTTTCATCCCAGCACTGAAAGTTGAACAAAAAATGCATGTTTAAAGCTTTGATTAACCCGGGTAAAATGACACCTAGAGGTTCTTTCAAGGTCAAACACCTATTTTCGTTCCCTTTGAACATGACATGTTTCTCCATTTAGCTCTGCGATCATGATTGAGGGTTTCCATGTGAAAAGTCAATTTAGAGGCGTTCTTTTCGCTTCTTTAACTGGCCCTGACGATAGTCACTTCCTTAGATCTGTACTTGGCATTGACCCTCTTCCTGGGAAGATGATTATGGACCCCGTTGACCACAACGTATGTGCCAGAGGTCGAAACTCGCACCTTGCATTTGGTCTTGTAGTTCATGCAGCAGAACCACGTACTCTTGGTGGGTCTGCTGCTCTCTAGATAAAAATCGTGATCGTCGACGATGATCTTCGGGTTCTTTCTTTCAAGGTCAAACGACCTATTTTCGTGACATTTGAACATAACATGTTTCTCCATTTTCAGCGCTGGGATCAAAATTGAGGGTTTCCATGTGAAAAAATGAAGTTGACCTTTAATTAAACAAGGTCACAGACAAGACCAGAATGAAGGTAACCATCAGATGTGTGGCTGGGTGTTCTGCGATTTTCGCATTAAAAGTTCTACTTTAATATTCTCCTTTTTCCATCTATCCGCTGTTTCACAACATTCCATAAATAAAATCTCATGATAGAGCAAAAATTGACCTTGAAACATCATCTAGTAAACATTGAAGGACAATTCAAGGTCAAATTGATTTTTTCGCATGGAAACCCTCAATTTTCACCCCAGCACTGAAAGTTGAACAAAAAATGCATGTTCAAAGCATTGATTAACCTGGGTAAAATGACACCTAGAGGTTCTTTCAAGGTCGAACGACCTATTTTCGCGACCTTTGAACATGACATGTTTCTCCTTTTTCAGCGCTGGGATCAAAATTGAGGGTTTCGATGTGAAAAAATGAAGTTGACCTTGAATCGAACAAGGTCACAGACAATACCAGAATAAAGGTCACCATCACAACATTCCATAAAAAAATCCCATGAGATAGCAAGAATTGACCTTGAAATGTCTTCTAGTAAACTTTGAAGGACTATCCAAGGTCAAATTGATTTTCTCGCATGGAAACCCTCAATTTTCATCCCAGCACTGAAAGTTGAAAAAAAATGCATGTTCAAAGCTTTGATTAACCTGGGTAAAATGACACCTACAGGTTCTTTCAAGGTCAAACGACCTATTTTCGTGTCCTTTGAACATGAGATGTTTCTCCATTTAGCGCTGGGATCATAATTGAGGGTTTCCATGTGAAAAGTCCATTTAGAGGCGTTCTTTTCGCATCTTTAACTGGCCCTGACGATAGTCACTTCCTTAGATCTGTACTTGGCATTGACCCTCTTCCTGGGAAGATGATTGTGGACCCCGTTGACCACAACGTATGTGCCAGAGGTCGAAACTCGCACCTTGCATTTGGTCTTGTAGTTCATGCAGCAGAACCACGTGCTCTTGGTGGGTCTGCTGCTTTCTAGATAAAAATCGTGGTCGTCGACGATGATCTTCGGGTTCTTCGTACCTGCTTCAAAATAGATCGTTCCTAAAAAATGGAGGCGTCACGAAAGTTCATTGGGTTATCTTTAGAATGTCTTAATCTACAATGTTTGAGGAGGTTGGAGTATAAATGGAATGAAAGATTCTAGAAAAGATATATCTTTATCGCTGTCAAAATATGTTTGCGGGTTTAACATCAGTCGTCACTGTTGCAGCTTCAGGAAACTGAGTTTTTTAAAGTAGCTGCAGAAGAATATGGTTTGGTGAACTTTCTATGGTTTGAATTACATTTAAAAACTTCCCACCACGGATTAATCGAAAACCACGTATATGAAACATTTGCTAGCAGTATAGGGAGGAGTAATGTAAAATCAAAGACAGATCCAATAAAATTTAATTCAAATATGGATACATCCACAGTTTTTCACGCAGACAAACAGTACAAAAAATAATCCATTGTACAAAGCACAACTATAAATGTAGCACGGACAAGAAATAAAGGATATTACAAAAAACAGGTGATGACTCTAATACTAATATTGTCCTAACAAACTAGGTACTATCTACCGAATATTAAGAACAAAATTCAAGGTTTTATTTTTTGGAACATGCAAACACGAGGTCCATAAATTAACTGATGGGGCCGGCAACGTAGCGTTTGGTCTGGCAACACTGAAGGCGTCGGACTTGGAGGGGAGACAGGGGAACATGTGATCCGCCTTCAGTACACGTTTGAACTCGCTCGAATCATTTGGTTAAGCAATTTGAAAAAAAAACAGTCTCATCACTTAATTTACAGAGCTCGTACTTCAGAGGCAATAACAAGAGCATTACCTGAAAATCAAAATTTATCTTTTTCAAGATAACTAGTTGGTTGTTTGTTAGAGATCAAAGTCAAGTTGCCCTTATTTGAATCGTGTTTCAAGTATATGGCACTGAAAATGTTTCCTAAAAAGGTCTAATTGTCCAGTTAACTTGATTCCAACTTTATCTTTGACGTTGCTTACAAAATTTCATCAAACATACTGATTATATTCAAGCCACGTAGGCTTGTCTGACAATAGTCACGTTCTGCGACAACATATTCGTAAACTTGGACTTCTTTTGCTTAGGCTCATGATTATGAGCCCCAGTGACATAGACCATTCTTCCACTTGTAGTAGCTCTAGCCCTGCACTTAGTTTTAAAGTACCCAGCACAGATCCACATCGTCTTTGAATCCGTTTTCCTCGCCATATTAAAGTCGTGATTGTCGACTATGATTTTTGGATTCTTCGTACCCACGTCGAAGTATATCGTGTCTAAAAAGAAAGGCGGTATCAGGAAGATCGTATCATTACTCTTTTACAAGTCATTGAAAGCTTTACTATCTCCTTTCAGGAAACATTAAGGCCCTGATGCATAGCCTTGAGGCATTCCCAATTGCAACGGCATTGTTCCCACCAAAAGCATCATGACAAATCGTTTTCAACCTGATGTTGACATGTACCATATAAAGTTATAAACAGTCAAATATGTCAGTGCTGACCAGTTGTTCACGTCAATAGACATCTGTCTTTTTCCTATTTACTTTTGACCTTTTCCACGAGTATCCATGACGCTTTGACGTGGTGACCTTGGATTTGACGTTGCAATTCACCTTGACGGACATTTCAAGGGCAAGTTGCTTTTTTCAAATGGGAATCCCCATTTTTTATTGCAGTTATAGAAAAAAATCCTATTCAACGGTGTCAATATCGTAAGGGTTAAAGGAACATCTAGAGGTTATTTCAAGGTCAATTGAGCTGGAAAAAGAAGGATATTAAAGAACTTTTACTACAAAAATTTTAGGACACCTAACGGCACATCAGACGGTGACCTTCATTCTGACCTTGGCTGTGATCTTGAATGTCTATTCAATGTCAAATAGATTTTTTCACATGGAAACCCTCAATTTTGATCCCAGCACTGAAAGTGGAAAAAATGCATGGGTAAAATGACACCTACAGATTTTTTCAAGGTCAAACGACCTATTGTCGTGCCCTTTGAACATGACATGTTTTTCCATCTAGCGCTGGGATCATAATTGAGGGTTTCCATGTGAAAAAATGAAGTTAACCTTGAACTGAACAAGGTCACAGACAAGACCAGAATGAAGTTCACCTTCAGATTTGTTGTTGGGTGTTCTGCGATTTTCGCATTAAAAGTTCTACTTTAATATTCTCGTTTTTCCATCTATCCGCTGCTTCACAACATTCCATAAAAAAATCCCAGGACAGAGCAAAAATTGACCTTGAAATATCCTCTAATAAACCTTGAAGGTCAATACAAGGTCAAATTGATTTTTTCGCATGGAAACACTCAATTTTCATCCCAGCACTGAAAGTTGAAAAAAATGCATGTTCAAAGCTTTAATTAACATGGGTAAAATGACACATAGAGGTTCTTTCAAGGTCAAACGACCTATTGTCGTGCCCTTTGAACATGACATGTTTCTCCATCTAGCGCTGGGATCATAATTGAGGGTTTCCATGTGAAAAAATGAAGTTGACCTTGAATTGAACAAGGTCACAGACAAGACCAGAATGTAGGTCACCATCAGATGTGTTGTTGGGTGTTCTAAAATTTTCGCATTCATTAATATTCTTCTTTTTCCACCTATCCGCTGCTTCACAACATTCGATAAAAAAAATCACATGAGAGATCAAGAATTGACCTTGAAATGTCTTCTAGTAAACTTTGAAGGACTATTCAAGGTCAAATTGATTTTTTCGCATGGAAACCCTCAATTTTCATCCCAGCACTGAAAGTTGAAAAAAATGCATGTTCAAAGCTTTAATTAACCTGGGTAAAATGACACCTAGAGGTTCTTTCAAGGTCAAACTACCTATTGTCGTGCCCTTTGAACATGACTTGTTTCTCCATCTAGCGCTGGGATCATAATTGAGGGTTTCCATGTGAAAAAATGAAGTTGACCTTGAATTGAACAAGGTCACAGACAAGACCAGAATGAAGGTCACCTTCAGATGTGTTGTAGGGTATTCTGCAATTTTCGCATTAACAGTTCTTCTTTTTTCCAGCTATCCGCTGCTTCACAAAATTCCGTGGAAGACCAACAATTGCCCTTAGAATCAAAAATCAAAAAAGATCAACATTTTTTCGACCTGCAATAAAAAATGTGAGTTCCTTTTGAAAAAATCAACTTGTCCTTAAAATGACCCTTGAAGTGAACGTGAACGTCAAATCCAAGGTTAGCCATCGATGCGCCAATTGATTTCCTGATACTTTTGTATTTAAAGTTTTTTCTAGCACCCTTCGTTCACAGTTTTGGGATACTCTGTATGTGTCGTGTCGAGTTGGGGTTTTCAGCTGTTACCGGTGAGAACGGTTCCTTAGAAGTAAAATCTGCAAGCCCGACAGAGAATCAGGAAACAGAGTAAGTTAAAGACGAGTCAATAAATAACATTTATTTGTCAAACGATTTTCACGTTACATTCTTACAATAGTGACTTTCTGCGCTTTAATATTCTTCGGTATCTGCATCAGGTTCTCGTGGTTATGCTCTCCGTGTATCTCCACGATTCCCTGCTTAGTGACCAGCTTTGCAGGACATTTGCACTTGGAGTAAGAAGTGCATCTCCATGTTGTCCTTGAGGCGTATTTTATGTGTATGCCGTAGTCGTGACCTTCACAGATGATTTTTGGATACTTGCTGCCTGGATAGACGTAGATTGTCCCTGGAATGCCACGAAGTATGTAGAAAAACGCCAAGTTTGGATACTCTGTATTGTTCACCATGTAGATTCACAAGCTCTAAGGTATTCAAGTATCGGAGCATGACAAAATTGTGGGGGAAATTTTCAGGATGCTAGGGGGAAAGTATACTTTAGTTTCTGGGTAAATATCTTTTCTGTATCCGCGTACCCAAAACGAGGTCACTTCAAAACTAAAAGTGAATTTGTTCCCTAAGTTGAAAACGCATTTGACAAGAAAGCAATTCAGTTCCGACGACTAAGTGAAATATCAGGTACAGCGATGATATGACATGGATATAGCAAAACGACAACGGCGTCTTCATAAATGCATCGACTGGAATGACATTTAATAAAAAAAAAAAACGACAATGCTTAAGCTTTTTGATGATGTACAGTTACCATACTTTCA